CTGCATAATTGATAATTTTTTACATTATCTCTCTTACATAAAATTAGGAAAAGAGAGAAAGTGAATGAGAGTTGAGAGAATATAAAAAATTATCAATTAGACATCAATAATGCTATTTTATTTAAAATGATACAAAATTATATCTTTTAAAAGGATAAATACTTTTTTCATTATTATTTATAAGGGCTTGCAATTTCTCATGTTGCATGAGAAATTCAAGTTTTCCTACACAGAGAGAGAAAGGGGTGGGGCTCACCTTAAAGAAAAAAATAAAAAATAAAAAATGATTGGCATGGACATTAAAGTAAGAGTAATAAGAGAGGAGACTTCTTATGCAACATTCTTTCTCCCTATTTATAAACCCTGCAAATGATTTTATATAATTCGATTGTAAGATGGTGTTTTATGGAATGTCCTTGCCTAATTGTTAGCTGTATTAATTTACACTGTATGCTCTTACAGACACACAAAAAAAGTTTGACTTTGTGTTCTTATTGGTCGATCTTATCCCTTATTTTGGGGTCAAAATGTTATCATTTAATGTATCTTTGTTGGATGCTTAATTTTTGTTTTAATATATCTTTTCTTCTTCTCCAATAAACACTGAATATTTGGAAGTCAAATATTTATTTATTTTTTAAATCTTCAGTTATGCATTCCAACCTGTATCACATTTGGACCACTAATGAATAATGGTGTTAGTGTTATTGATATATATGTCGTAGACTTTATAAATTGTCGACGGCGGAATCCAACAGTAACATGTACATTGAGTGGCTGAAATCCTCCATCAAATGCTAATTATAATTTTTATTTTCGTAAAAAAAAAAAACTGGTCCACCTTAGTGATAAGCTTTGCGTTTGTTGGGAGCTGACATTGGACTCAATCACATTGCCATGGGGCCTAAAGAGGGGTTTCATCTGTCAAACCAATTCTTGTTTTAAGTATTTCAAGCATTGAGCAATAAAATAGAGTGGGCAATGGAAGAGACACTGTCTCTGGCACATAAAGACAAAGCCATCTTACCTAATAAACTAATCCAAAATAAACAAAAACACATCATAATTTTTTTATATTTATTTTCTTGACATTGTGCTGTAGTTCTGCTTTGACGTAACATTGTACTAGCTCAATTAGGAGTTACGTGGCGTGTGACAAATCCATGTGATGGCATGGATTTAGATAATATTGTGCAAGCATTTGGATTTGGATAATCTCTTTCATGTCAATTCACAATTCCATCTTCAAGAAGAGAAAGATATAAAGCTTTCTTTCTTTCTTCTTTTCTTTACTGTTTATTCTTCTTACAGAGTGTTAAAACGAAAGAATGTTAATTAAATTTATTGAGTTGGTAGAAAATGTAAAAAATAAATAAATAATTTCTTCAAAGCTGTTTGATTCTGTTCATGATAGAATCGTAGTGTTCTGGATCAGATTTCTGATTCGGCCTAAAATTTTGATGGCCCATCACATAAGGGCCTAAGGTTCCAGCCAGCCTTGCAATAAGGAGAAAAAAATCACTGTGGCATTCAAGAGATGGGTTCCATGTTAAGATCCTGATTCTTGAAGACAGAATTGGCATTCAAAGTTAAAAAAATCACTTTGGCACATTTTCAAGGTCATATTCATGCCTTGCAAGCCAGTCCCAGAATTCTGGATCTGTTGAAAAATCCCTCTTCATGTCACGCAATATCTCCTTAAACATATATTCAGAATATGGTAAGTGTTGGAAATCGACAATCACACAGAATTGAAAAAACAGAAAAAGATATAAGAGTAGAGAGATTAGACACAGCGATTTATTCTGGTTCACCCAATATATACTACGTCCAGCTTGTCTGTACTATATTCACATCACCTCCCACTCGTTACAAGTCTCTCGATTTACAAGACAAATATAAATAGGATTACAAAATCCTAACCGTAGCTATTCATGGGCCCAAACTGCTAAGAAAATTATAATAAAACATAGGCCCACAACAGTACCTAGCCTCTACGGGCCTGGGGGCGCTGTCCCTCGAACCCCGGCCCACTCACCTGGAAGCGAAACTCCAATTGACTTTCTGCTGACCCGATAATTAAGGCCTTATAGTATAAGCCATACCCAAGAGTAACTTTGTGCTCTCCAATATTTCAAAAAACCGTTTCCTAAGACTTGGACTTAAAGGGACAGCTTCAACTGCTCCACGGTAGACAGTTCGAAAAATGTTCGTACCGTGCTCTGCAAATAATTCCTGTTTCTTCGTTGATTCATCACTTTCAATGTTTGGACCATCATTATTCTCTTCTTCAATAAGGGACATAAATAACTCTTTGTTTTCATCTCTCCATTGTTTTTCATCAACAATTCCATCCGAAGATACACTACCCAAAGGTCTTCAGATGTTGGGCAAACTCTGAGACCTTCATTCTATTTTTGCAAAACTAATTAATGCAACCTAGAAACGCATAGCTAATCGAGGAATGTGATTTTGAAGAGGATAGGTTTCGACTACATAACTCTTTAATTTGGTCTTCTTTTTTATTTACGTGTAGAAAAATGAGGAATGTAATTTTCTTCAATTTTATGCGTAAGGCCCTTCTAAGCCTGCCAATTTTTTTTGGGATTTGCAACTACATAGTGTGATGTTATTATTATTTTTTTGGGGTCTTCTTTTATGCTGCTTTTTCTTCCAGTAGTTAGTAACCTAGATTTTGATTAAATGTGATGTTGGGTTCTTGGAATGAAGCATAGACACTGACATGGTCACAACACGAACATGGATAGGTACACACCAAATTTTGTTCTTAGGATTTAGCCTTCAATGGTTTTTTTTTTTGTTTTTTATTTTTATTTTAAGCCTGTGAACATTTTTCATTTTTTTTTTTTTTTTGTGAGATGAATAAGTTCGGTAGCGGGCAGTGGACACCTGGAAGTAGAGCACGCTACAATCTTACAGACACTGTTGCTAGATGCACCACTCAGGTATAAAACATGGACCTAGTGTCCTATTGATTATTAGTTAAACGGTTTGTGAAGGACAAAAAAGCTGTATTTGTGGAACAACACATTCTGATGCATCCAATTTTATTTTATTTTCCCTTTCTCAATTGAACTCAGGTTTACCCAAAATCATGGACTGCAATCTACATGGCTTTGGACAGTGTGGGAATGTGGAACATAAGGTCTGAGAATTGGGCAAGGCAATACTTGGTACAACAATTTTATCTGAGGGTATATACACCTTCCAAGTCATGGAGAGACGAATATCCTGTCCCAAAAAATAGCCTTTTGGACTTGATTCCTTATCGTAACAGTTTCTTGCCTTTAAGATAAGGGTTTATCATCTATCATTTAACATGACCACAAAAAGTTTCCTACACACACAACATTTTGTGGGGCCCGCAGCAAAAAAAAAAAAAAAAAAAACTTCGGCACGCAAAACGAATCTCTATAACATAACACAATCACTTTTCCTACAACATAACTCTTATAAAACCCTTAAGATAATTCATATGAATTTATTGATTTAAATATGTGCGCGTCATTATCTAAAAACAATAACAATAATTACAGTTTAAGCCTTTCAAATAAAAAAAAAGTTATGTGTATTGTGCCTGGGGAGTGTGACAAAGTACTCAACAACCACATCGAATCTAATAGTTATATACTCATTCTCACAGTAAAGCTGGCAATGGCACCAACATGCTAGGCAGAAGGACAACGTTTTGATTTGCAGGGATTGTGAGCTAGCTGCTGCGTTAACAGTGCTTCAGCCTCAATCCTACTTTAGTGCTCCCCTGAAATGCAATACCCGTGATAAAGAAAAGCTAGATGTTCTAAAACAGAATCAAAACCTTCAATTGAAGCTCCATGTCTTAATCGAAACCTTCAGGGCAGACATCATAGTAAACACTATACTACTTATTAATGATGAATGAACCCTCAAATCAAAACATGTATACGAATTTGAAAAACATGTTCATCTTCTACTTAGATCACACCAACCAGATAAACATTACATGAATCAACACTGTGAAGCATCTAGCAAGTATCATGTGATGCTCCCCTAAAGGGTAAGAAATAATCATGGATGCTAATACTGTAATATATTTTCATAAAGATTATCATCTTCGCACTTATTTATTTCCACCTTTATAAAAGTGAAAATATGAAATTGACAGAATAAAATTGAGTAGGAGAAAATATGAAATTCAAAGGAAATAGTACTGAAACTAAAAAAAAAAAGGACACATGAAATTTTAGCAAATCTCTTATATCTTGGGGGAAAAGGTGAATGTAATGATAATAATTGGATTTTTACATCCAAAATATGTTGTAGAAATTTTTGTTTTGTACAAATAACATACCGTTAACTAGGGAAAAGTTTACTAATTTAGAGATAACAGATGTTGGGAAAACAAAAGAATGAGTGGAAAAGATTGTGTCTAGTACTGTCTACCTCTCACCCAAAAATTCAGTTCCGTCACTTTACCAAACATATCATAGTCTTGTGACCAAATATCTGTCAAAAATATTTTCAAATAGTTATACTCGATCAGAGGTTCTAATTAAAAAAATATTTTCCGCAAGCTCAATGAAAGTACCAATTGTTATGAACTTTGAGGTCACAATTACAAAAATTAGCTCATAGAACGAGAATGTTCAAGGCCTTATAAAACCAACATTAATTATATAAGCAACTAATGTGGGACTCGTAACAATTTTTTTCTTAAGATACGCAGTGTAGTCTGTGCAAAAAAAAAGTAGTGTTTTATTAATTTGGTTCAATGCAATAAAACAAAAGGTAGAGACTTAACAATATCCATCATTAGAATGCCACAATTAAGTGACCTAATTACATATAGATGAAGCAAAACTTAGTAGTAACTAGTAACTAAAATTTAGTGCCATTCCGATGTCAATCACATAAATACTTAAAACAGAAATAGATCCCCGAGTATTTAATTAAAGCAAAAAAGGAAACAAATAACAGGTCTTGTTCTTCTGAAATATTGATCATTCAATATCTGACAAGTAATATTTGAGCAGTCCCGGGCATTGAGTCAAGGGCTCATCCTTCAAGTAACCCATAGCATTTGCATAGTGAAGGTTGTTGACGACACCGTTTTCGTAGTGGGTGAGTACGATGCTGGATGTGTCACGCCCTCGGTCTGGGGTATTACACCATGGCAGTGGGCTACTAACAAGTACTGATCGGCAAATATGGTCATATTGGTCATTTTTAATTACAATGTCATATGTTCCCGTGGAGTCTGTCACTCCTTCCGTGTAGAAAGTTATGTCCATAGTCTTCCTGTCTTGGCACCGAATTCCGACCCTTGCACCTAATAATTAAGAAACGTTACATGTATGCAACATAAAAAACTTTAATAAACTTTAGTTCATAATATTAGGTTTTCATCCATCTAGATCAAGTTATGTAATTATTCATTAGTTAAATTTGGTAAATCATATACTAATTTAATGTGAGAAGATACGCATTGTGATGTTCAAGTTGCGTATGAAGTGATGTACGACTTTAACATATACTAACAGAGAGTTTTGAAAGGATTTCTCCATAATGTCAGTAAACAATTGTGCCTGGAGTCGCCAAATAGGGGCTTGCTAATCTTATTACTACAGACTCAATGTAAACAGTTATAATTTAGTTGGGTTTTAGGTGTGGTCCATTTTTCATTTGAGTTATATATACATTTTCACAAATAAATTGCCCAATGTTAATTGAGAAAAGTTACATTTACAATTTATTTATTTTTGCAACTTCTTACAACCATATTTTAACTGTTGAATCAACTGTTATTATATTCGCAAATCAAATTCATTAATTAATTATTAATTTACAATAAATGATTACCGTTGATTAACAAAAATCAACGATTAAGATATGATTATGAGAAGTTATAAAAGAAAATAGGTTTTAAGTATAACTTTCCTCGTATTAATTATTGTAAACGCTCTTTCACAATAAATATGACCAAGAAAATGCCAATTCAAATGGAATGGATTTTTTTTTCATGGGTTAAAAGCCTAGTAACATGTACAAGAAAATTGGTTAAGAGTGTGTGTACCTTCAATGTAAAAGGTGACATTGGTTTCGAATCCAGCGCGGCAGGTATCACAGTAAACGGAACCTTTGACATGGAACTGTGCAGTAGCAACGGGGAGAAGAAGTAAAGGGAGGATAGAAAGGGAGAGAGCCATCAACAACAACACCCTCGTTGCCATGATTTATGACTAATTGTAAACAAAATGAGAAATCAATGGTTTTTTATACTGCGAGCGAGGCCTTTAGCTTTGCTAGCTCTTAGTTATTATTGCGCGCGTCTTGTGCGCCATAAGAAGTGAATCATGTCTCTCCCGAGTCTTTAAGTCTCCATTTGGGATCGGTGCCATTCCACATGCTCCTTCTCCGTGGCTTCCGTGATCTTATCTGTGATTATGAATTTATGATTTTTTATGAGTTTGAAAAGTTTGAAGCAATTTTTTGTTTTATAAAACATTAGTCAGAACACGCTAACCCCAAAAGAAAAAAGGGGAAAAAAGAAGAAATGAAGTTAAAAGTTAAAGCGTACAAATAGGTAAAAGGTATAAAAAACTTAAGATAGAATTGGGCACGTACTTTGGAGATGACTTTTGAGAACTTTTCCGAGTATATTAATTAATGATAGGTAGTAACAAATAGAAGTCAATGGATTCCAATAAAATCAGAAGCTAACTGGCTGGATAATACTGATCATAATTCATGGGACAAGAAAGGTTTAACAGCCAAGCAAACACGTGCCCTGAGCTTCACACACAATTTCTTCTTGAGCTGTTTTGAAAGTTAGCCATGTTGCATTATTTAGTAATGTAATTAGTTTTGTTTCCGTAATAGTTTTTCATTGTTATTTGTAGAACATACGTGTACCATATTCCCTGATTTCTTCACAGGATCCATAGGCAAATAACAATTCTGGCACTGAAATCATACCTCTCTGGAATATTCCTCAAATGGCAATATAATACGCTCACATACGAAAAGAGGACTTTTAACCTCTTCCCTATGACAATCTTTTTCAAGCCGCATGCTGCTCTCTCTCTCTCTCTCTCGCCTTGCATCCATTTGCCGGAACCTTAACACACACTTCCCACCCCGTTGACTGAGATCTGGTTCTATACACTAGTGAGTAGTGATTCTATTCGTGTTCGAGAATCTAAATCTGAGTGAATGAAGTTGCATATTATTTAAAGATAGACTCAGTGACTATGATATAAGGTAAAAATTATTTTCATGCCATATGATATAAGTTTTTTCTTCTACACACTCTTTGATAATTGTGTCATTTTTTTTAGGTGGTAGAATTCACATGTTTGTCTATATGAAAATGAGATAACTTATCTCCTTCAACGTGAAATTAATAAACGATAACTTCAATATGCGAGTTTAAATTAAAATAACAATAATAAATTAAAACATCAATGCGATATATTAGATAATTTAGTAACATTAATTATACAACTATTAATGAGAAAATAAATTTTGGAGCTAATAGGAATGAGCTAGTGGTAGTGGTGAGGGATAGATAATTTGCAATATTATAGGTTGAAACTTCTCTTCCATCATTGTATGAAATAAATAAATAAATTTTGAACTGAATTAAATGTTTTTAAAAGATTATAAATTTTAATAATATTAACTATTTTTTATTTAGTGATACTAAATAAATTGCAAAAATAAAAGTAAATTCTCATAAATTTTAATTAGGCTATATAAAATATGTAGGGTATACAAAAAAATATTAACTAAGAAAATAACACATCATTTTTAATTAGAAATAATAGTAAATTTATACAATCTTTTTATTGTTTAATTAACAATAACCATTAATTCTATAAAGTAATTCTGCAATAGCTATCATTTTGCTTACCAAACCCGGTGATGCATTCTGTGAGTCTCGCCTTGTGATTCAGATACGAGAATGACTTGCAAAAGATGGGACAACACAACTTGTGCCTACATTTAGAGAAGAAAATATTGTGCGGATTGACCTGCTAATTTTACGCTGGAGAGGTTGGACCTGGATAACTTTATGATTTACTGTTCCCCTCCCCCTGATATTAGGTGGCTATACTTGTCGGATGTTAGTTCTGTTCATAAAACTAGATACCCTCTCTTGTAGTTTGTCTTTTCTGTTTTGTTAGGCTCTGCCCTTATTTCAACCAAAAAAATTAAAAATAACTGTTTTAATATATATTTCTCACTTTCCCTTTATCCATTATTAATTTCTTCATTGTTTTATTGTTTAAATTTATACTTAAAAGCTTAGAATTTGCATGGGATGGAGGTTGAAAGAAAGTAATTCTAGAAAGTGATTCTGCAACAGCTATTACTCTGCTCATCAAATCCGGTTATGCATCCTATGAGTCTTACCTTGTGACTCGGATACGGGAATGACTTGCAAAAAATTGGACAGTACAACTTGCGCATACATTTAGAGAAGGAAATACTTGTGCGGATTGGCTGGCTAATTTTTCCCTAGATAGGTTGAATCTGGAGGATCATATGATTTACAATTCCCCTCCCCCTGATAGTAGATGGTTATACTTGTCGGATGTTAGTTCTGTTCATAGAACTAGATACTTTCTGCTGTAATTTGTTTTTCCTATTTTGTTGGGCTTATCCCTTATTTCAATAAAAAAAAAATTTCTTTTTTGGTAAGCAAAAATAAAATTATTTAACAATAACCGTTTTGACATATATTTGTCAATTTCCCTTTATCCCATTATTAATGTCTTCACTCCTCGTTTTAGTTCACCTAGTTTAAAAGAAAAACAAAAAACTAAACCTGAAAACTTTTGTCAAATTATCACCGTCCTGTCCATCAGCTGGAAATTAGGCAAAATTGCTTTTCAATTCCAAATTTAGTGATTTTGTTACCAAATCTATGAGCAATATAATGTAAGGGTTTGTTTTTTCCGATATTACTTTAGATAACTTTATCTAATGTTCATCAAAACGACGTCGTTTTGGGACGGAAATCATGGTATTTTTGTTATTTTAATTTATTTCAGGGTTGTTATAGTCTTTATCACTCTAATTTTTTAATTTGTCAACCTCAAAACGACGTCGTTTCGATGAACATTAGATAAAGTTATATAAAGTAACATCGGAAATTTTTTTCCCATGTAATTATAATTAACATTCTGAAATTTAATTCGAACAAAATTTTATTCCATTATCAATTGTTGATGCAAATTGGTGAAATTTTTGACATCAACTCAGTATGTATTTTAATCAGTTTATTTCGTGTTTAAAACACCTTTGTATGTAAAAAAAAATCTCTAAAAATAATTAAATCCAATCATGCACTTATTGACTATTGTTTGGATCACATTCTAACCGGATCTCGATAGCCCATAAAACTCTCTAGTTGTGGCAGCTTCCTGGGCCAACAACGGCTCATAAGCACTAGTCACTTTCTTCAAGGCCCCAGCAGGCTAGTAGCCCAGAAAGTATTCAGTCCAGTGTTGCGTTGTTTCTCACTATTTTGGAAAGAAAAGAGTAAATTGTCATTGGTGAAAATCTCAAAGAAGGAGGGAAAATTAAGTACGTGCATCGAGCGGTTCGATTTGTTTTTTTGTTAAAAATTGAATCGAACTAATTTTAAATGGTTTGGTTTTCTAACCGAATTGGTTTTATATTTAAAAAATCGGTTCTAATTTTTTCAAACCAGTTTGAAACCGGTTCCAAAACTAATTTATGATTTATAAACGGTTTTGATTAAAAATTGATTTTAATTTAAAACCGGTTTTAAATCAAAACCAATTTTGAATCATAAACCGGTTATTAAATTAAAACAGGTTTTATAACAAATTCAAAACCAATTTTTAACGAGTCTGTGCTATTTATTGTTTGTATCCAAATACAATTGCTCGTAAAACAGTTGCTCTAATTATAATAATATGTATTGCATAATAATTTTCATGGAGCAATTTCCAAAATAAAAAAATAAATAATTTTGATGGAGTAATGATACAGGATCCTTTGCATTTGTTTGATAGGGAAAAAAATTGAATAGAAATATACATACTCAAGATTTAATTTTTCTTAGTTTTAAACCTGTTAATACTATTATCCATTCATAGCATGACTAAAACTTTTTGGTAACTATTCAGGGGCAAAGAATGTTCTTTTTTGGTGTTCCTAATTAAAATTAACAGTCCTTGCGTCCGTTAAATTATATTTAATCCAATAGAACGAACATTTGTAGATGGGACAATTAATAGATCAAGTACAAAGTTGTAAGAGCTTTTACTCCCCAATACAGAATAGTTTGTGCTCGGCTTTGAGGCTTTAAGCTAACGCAGCGGTATTTCCCCTGTTTTAAAAGTGGTTTGGATAACCATGATATCCGAATCAATTTTAAAAGATAAATATCCAATCCATATCCAAAATTAAGGAACAATTTAGCTTTTAAAACCATTTTAAAAAACCGGTTTTTATGAATCAGTTTGGTTTGGTTTCCTATTTGGTTTGGTTCAATTAGATTTTTTGCACACCCCTAGAGAAAATCAATGATAACAGTAATTAATGAGATCGGGCTGACATGGATTAAGTTTGATTAATGGGTTTATTTTAGGGAAAAATATTTCTTCAAGTCACCAGAATAAAGTTATGAGCTCAAAACAATATTGTTTTCGGGTTATAAGATTAAAAAATTATAATGATAAAGACTAATATAACTCTGCAATATATTAGAATTACAAAAATATTTTGATTTTCGGCGCAAAACAACATCGTTTTGGCTCACCGAAAATAACTTATTATTTTCATTCACTGAAAAATCCTTTACCCTTTATTTTATTTTATTTTTTTAAATTTGACCCATAGGGCTTGTATACAAATTTTGATTTTTCAACTCGATAACAACCCGGTCCAAGCCCGTCATCCAAAATCTATAATATATTTTCAGAAATGTTAATACATGTAAAATAATGTTATATTGAGTTTGTTAATTATACGTACATCGAGTGCAAAATTTATCAATGATCGTTTCTATTTCTTTTAAATTACGTAGATCATACGAACACTGGAACTGAGTGTGAAGTTTATGGCCTCAACGCTTACCAAAAAAAAAAAAGTTTATGGCCTCAACTGTATATTCAGGCTTAATAATACTTATAAAACTCGTGTTATTATGATTTTTTTTGGTAAATTAGGATGAAAATTGAGATGACTTTCCATA